AATAAAATAAGAAAAAAAATCCTAGCCTTTAAGGAGAAATTTTATTTCACCCTCTCCAAGACAGACCTACTTTTTTTCTTCGAGGTCCATAGTATGTTCAGGACTCTTCTCCAGCATCAAAACTTAAAAGGCATTTTTTATGTTGTAAAACATAATCAATGGGAATACTTGTATGAAACATAATTGTGAATGAAGATAGTGTGAAACACAATGTACATGGACTTTGTATGCAAACCAATAAAAATAAGTTTAAAAAAGGATAAAAAGGTAATAAATAGGTGTTGTTGTTAGGTGCTGTGAAGTATGACTTCACAGTGACCCTATGAACAGCGGAACTGAACTATGTTCTATCCTGCTCCATCCAAGTTTCTCCTTGGAGGCTAGGATTTTGAAGCTCTGTCTCACATACTTTGAGCACATGTCCAGGAGGGACTGGTCCTTGGAAAAGGACCTCATGCTTGGAAGGGTGGAGAAAAAGCACAGGAGAGGAAGACCCCAGATGAGATGGATTGATATAATAACTAGGGCAATGGGGGTAGGTGTGCTGGAGTCATTGAGACTGACTCGGATCAGGGCAGGCTTCTGGGCTGCTGTACATAGGGTCACTACGAGTCGCAGGTGACTCGAGGGCACATAATGACAAGAACAACTCACTAACTCATACTTTGCTGTTGCTGGTTGCCTTCGAGTTGAGCACTACTCATAGTGATCCTACGAACAAAAGGCCTGAAAGACCTCTACAACTATAAGCATTTATCAAAGTTCATAGAGTTTCCAGAGGCATACTATTTAGGAAATGGATGCCACTCCTGCTTCCAAATCTGTCATAGTATGTAACTGTTGTTATATGCCACTGAGTTGCCTGTGATGTATAGCGACGAATACAGCAGCTCTGAAGCCTGTCCTGTCCTGTGCCAGTCTCAATTCTGACACATCAACCCCCATTTCCCAGATACTGTATCAATCCATCTCATCTGGGATCTACCTCTCCTGCACTGTACCTCCACCCTTCCAAGCATGATGTCCTTCTCCAAAGACTGATCTCTCCTGGCCACATGCTCAAAGTAAATGAGGTGGAGATACAAAATCCTAGCCTCCAAGGAGAGACTTCACCCTCTTCATGACAGACCTATCTGGGTCAAGACTCTTCTCAGTTACTGTCCAACTCTCTGAAGCATAACAAGTAATTAAGAAGACCATAGCCTGGATTAGGCACACCTTTGTATCCAGACTGACATTGTGCTCTTCAGCACTCTGGAGAGGTCTATGACAGCACATTTTCCCAATGCCATATGTCTTTTATTTCCTGACTCCTGGTGTTAATAAAGAGTGTTGACTGCAGATCTGAGCAAGCTGTAATTGCTACCAACCAACTTACATGCATGCAAAAGCTGAACAAGGAAAAAGAAAATTGAAGAAGATTTTGAATTATAGTGGTGGTGAAGACATATATATATATATATATATATATATATAATGGACTTACAGAATAAGTCTGTCTTGAAAGAAGCATTTTCAGAATGTTCCTTAGACGTGAGGGTGAAGACAATTTGTCTTATGTACTTTGAAAATGTTATTAGGATGGACCAGTCTTTTGAAAAGGACACCACACAGAGAGACATCAAGCACATGGTCAGAAAAAAAAAGAAAAGAAAAAGAAGGCCCACAATAAGAAGTTTTGACACTGTAGTGTAGCTGCAAAATAGGCTCAAACATAGGAAACGGCAAATAGTATAGAACTGGGCAATGTTTTATTCAATTATACTCTGGGTTGTTATGAGTCAAAACTGACTCGATGGCACATAACGGAGTGAGGTAGAAAACAGAATATTTTGTTATATTTACAGTGAGTTCCAAATATAGTTTAATGTCAGGGTTTACATTTTAAAATATTAAACCATGTTTTTTCATATTAGCAAGTATGAATGACATAAAATCTGTATATAAATAGGGAAAGAGTAGAAAACCAAGAAAATTTTTCAAAGAACAATCTTCAGCAAAACAGATAAGGGAAGACATTGTTTCAAGGTTTCTAAAGAAAGACATGCCTATTATGGAAACTTGAAGATGATAGCAGCTAGCACGTATTTATTTCTTTAGCCATTGCAAGGTAGTATATACTATTGTTTTCCTTAATATATTATCATTCCAGTAGCTCCTGGAATCTACTATCTACTATGGGGATAGTTACTATATTTATTTCTAGTTAAAGGAAGATAAAATATTTCATGTAACAAAGTAATACAGCTGGTATATAGCAGAGCTCTGACTGAAGTCCAGGCAGTCTGACTCTACTTTGCATTTGTGTTCTCACTACCCTGTACTGCACAGGATGTGCTAGTGATCTATCTCCATTTACAAGAGAAATATGCTTATATTCTAACACCTGACACAGATACGGAAATAAAAAAATTTGGCTAATTTACCTCAAGTCTAGGTTTAACAAAACTTTAAGTAACATAATAAAAATTAAAAAAGTATGAAACATTAGGGGAAATGAAATAATAGAGTCTATTCAAAGAATATAAAGGACAAAAGAAAAGCAAATACATTTGTTTTTATAGAATAGAAAATCCAAAATTGTAGTAACATCAATAGCTATTAAAGATTTAGTAGGATTAAAATATCTATTCTTAACTAAATGCACACAAGCTACTACAAATGCTATGTTTCTCAATAAAGGTAATATATTTTAATATATAAAATATACAAATAAATACGCAGATGCTTCTGCATAAATAATTGTTTATACATACAAAAATAAGGATAACAAGTTTCTACATGGAAATATATATTAATATCAGTTAAATAAATTAAAACTTTCATGTTACATAAATTAAAAATAAAATTTGAGCCCAAATACTGAAGCAGCACAGGAAACAAGACACAGACACACTCCCACCCCCCTACCCTTTTCCTCCTTTCTTCCCTCCCTCTCTCCCTCCCTCCCTCCTTCTCTCTCTCGCTCATTCTAAAGCAATCTATTTTTTTTGGAAAGCAATGTGGCAAAAATCTAGTGAGAATGTATATATAATAATAGCATGTAGGGGAGCTCTGTTGGCCTAGCGGCAAAGGGCTGCAACTACAATCCCAGAGGCGCATGGTTCGAATCCACCAGATGCTCTGCTGGGGAAGGAGGGACAATCTCCTCCTGTACCAGTCAGATCTGATTTGACGGTACACTCACACAAAAATAATAAAATAAAAAATTTAAAAAAAAATAGCATGTGTAAGTGTATATATACAACACATTACAACTATTTATATCCAAAACAGTGTGTGAATGACTGTAACTATAGCCTTAAGCACAGCAGAGTTTGTGAGGATGAAGCAGGATTGGGTAAAATTTTGATCTAATATACAGGGATAGCTATGAGTCTGCGTTAATTTGAAGGTAATTAACACCACCACCCAACAATATGATGGCAGTGTATAAATTATTAAATTTATATTTATTAATGCAAATTAAGTCAGTGCAAAATTGTGAATAATAATAGATACATGAAGAGATCTGTGGTTAGAACTGAGTTTGAATTCTCGTTCAACTGTTTGACCTTGGGCATGTTCTAGAAAAGCAGGTTTGCAAGCATGAACTGTATATACTCAACAAATGTTTGTCTAACACCCTCCATATGCCAGACAAAGAGCACGGAGATGCAGTGGGTTAAGACTTAGGCTGCTAACCAAATTATCAGTGTTTCGAACACACCAGCCCCTCAATGGGAGAAAAATGAGGTAGTTCCCATACAGATTCTAAAGGACAGTTCTACGCTGTCATGTAGGGTCATTAAGAGTTGGAATAAACTTGATACTAGTGAAAAAATATTCTATATGTTATTTATATATGTATCTCAATTATTTTTAGAGAAGAATCTGGATATTTATTCAGCATATATGATTTCGCTTATATTAAAAATACATTGTCTTTATTGAGAAAGGAAGCATTTACAACCTATCGTCTTGTGTGTGTTTAGTTAAGAAAAAATATTTAATCTTGTTTTATTTTTTAAGATATTTAATCTTATTAAACCTTTCTTATTTGGAAAAGGAAAAAAAGAACAAACAGAGAAGATGGATGAAGGGAATAGAAACACACAGTAAGGGTTTGCCTGGACAACATAATAAGTTAATTGCACCAATCAGTTGTAATGAAAGTATATGAATGATTTTCTGAAAAAACCCATCCACTATGATTTGCAAACTTAACTAGACAAAAGGTATAGGACCATGAACAACATAGACAACTATTTTAGGAGGAAGCATCAAAACAATGTATAAATAAATGAACAATTTTTTTTCTATAAATGAACAATTTTGATTCTGAGAAATGCTAAGAAAATAACAAGGTTGATGCATATAGTATTTGGAATATAAATATCCTCAATTAAGTAGTTAGGAAAAGTAGCTTTTAAAAAGTAACATTGGAGTTGAAATCTGAAAGCAAAAAAGCTCTCACATGTAGTTCATATATAGGAAGTTCAAGTAGGCATAAAGAACAACTTAAATAAAATCTGTGTGACTGGAATGAACTAGGCATAGGTTAGGTGATGAGAAAGAGGAAAAGAAAAATTCATATTGTTGGACAATAAAGAGAGACATAGGGAAAAGGGTTAGAATAATCAAGGATCAAGTTATATAAGGCCTTATAGGTCACAAGACCTCTAGACCTGTTGAAATTAATTTTTTCTTTCTTTTTTTTTAAAGAATGTCATAGAACTGTGAGATAATGAGAAAATAAACTAGAATCAGCCATGTTGCACAGTAGATACCAACATTATACTCATTAGGTTCGTTCCCTCTCCCTAACTTGTTCAAATGAAGTTAAAAAAATAAACAGAAAAAAACTTAAATGAGAAGATCACAGAAGTTGGTACCAGAAAAGAGCAATGAAGGAAAATAAGAATGCTCCAAATTCAAGTCTGAATGCAATGGGAGAACCATAAAAACATAACAACATAAGTTAGAGAGGGGAGAGCTACACATTTCAGAAAAGCACTTACCTTGGATTCGAGGTAGACATTTGCAGACGACATTTTTGTAATTTTGCATATGTAACTAACTAGAGAGATAGCACAAAGAATAAAGAGGCTATCATTAATTAGTGCTCGAGTAAACACAGTCCATTTCAATTCATTTTCTGGAACATCTCCATGGACCAGCATTGCACAAGTCAAGTTCACCACTAAAAAGAGAAGACTTGCCAGTGTAAAGCCCAAATGTAGTAGAATTCTGAAAATAAAAAAACACAAGTTTGTTACATGTTTATAAAACTAATGGGAAATTACATTTTAATTCTGAATTACTTTGTCATTTTAGTTATATTAATTCCTTCAGTCTACAATGCTTATAATTTTATTAAATATAAATCCAATAATCATTCAGCATTATTTAAGGTATATTTGTTATTATGAAGTTACAATTCAAACTATTTCAAAATGGCATCAGTTCAAATACTTCTGTTAGGAAGAATAACTTTGGACTCAACATCATTTCTCTTTTATAATTATGAAGCGTATTTTAGGATTTAAAAATAATTTTGTTCTTAGAATCTACAACAAAACATGCATCATTTCAGCATGTAAAATTCAGTGACACTGACTGCATTCTCTGAGTTGTGCAACCATTTTCGTTCTTTTTCTGAGATGATCCTTCATGATAATTTATACCCTCTACCCCCTAAGATTTTCACCCAATCTTTTGAGTTTCTGTTGTTAATCTGATCCCACATAGAAAGACCCTAAAAGAGAAAAATACTCAAAGCAGATACATTTCACTAACTAAGCTAAATTATTATTTGGTTTTAAGAAGACTTCAATCCACCAGATGCTCTGCCAGGGGAGGAGGGACAATCTCCTCCTGTACCAGTCAGATTTGATTTGACGGTACACTCCCACAAAAATAATAATAAAAAAATTGTTTAAAAAGAAGACTTCAAGGGATCTTTTTGCTTAAAGTTTCAAGATTATCTGAGGGCAATGGTTTCAGGGATTCATTCATTTTCTATGGCTCCAGAAAGTCTGGAATATATGAGAAATTGAAATTTTCTTTTGTATTGCTCCTCTTTGAACAGGCTGCTTCTAAAGACTGATCAAAATGTTCTATAATAGTGGCTGGGCATTATTCAGCTTTTCTGGTCTTACGGTAAAAGAGCCACACATTCCATTTCCTCTTCTATTCCTGACTCTTCTTTTGTTTTTATTACATACACATTATTGTGTCTTGGATATTAACCATATTTTCTTTCATCTTTCCAACCTGAAAAATAACCAGACTTTTAGAATTGGTCTATACAATTAATTTATTGTTTCAAAATTTAAATTGATCATCTAATATTAAATGATAAGGAAAATGTAGTTTGAACAATGTACTTTTGATTATCCATCATAAATACTGCTTTCAAACTTGACTAAAGAATACAGGCATAAAACATGAAAGTTTAAAATACCTTATTTTCTTATAAAATTGTATATTTCTTATGCATGGAGAAATACTCTGAAAATAAAATGCCTGTTTCCTCTAAGAAAAATTGTTGTTGCTATTATTGTCGGTTTTCACTGAGTTGCTTCTGACTTATGTTGACTCCATGGAAACAGCAGAACTGCTCCACAGTGTTTTTTAAAACTGTGACCCTTTGGGTGTAGCTCTCCAGTCTTCTTTTCTGAGGCACTTCTGGGGAGGTCTGAATCACCAACTTTTCAGCTAACAGTTAAATGTTTAACCCACTGTCCCACCCAGGGACCAAAGGACAATTAGACCATCTCAGAAATTTTTTTTGTATTAAGTGTGGTGTAGTAACAGCTACTTTACTAAAGTAATTCCAGTTCAAACATTTTTATAACCAAGCTAAATATATACTATCAAGAATAAGTTTACTTAACACTGTGATGTCTTCTATTTGGAATCACTTTCAATAGTGTGACTCATAAAGATTTGCTTGCTTGTAGAAACAGTAATTTCATAAACAAATATAAACTGATGGTAGTAACTAAAATAAACAGTAACCAATCTGGTGAAGTGTACACACAAATTGGAAAGATTTTGGTTTGAAATGTTTAGATCTTAATATTTTTTTATGTTGAATAGTGAAAACAACAATTTCTGGTAACTACAGTTTAAACAATGTAGTCTGAAGTCTAAAATGGACCTTGAAATGATCTAAAACTCCCAAGATTTACAGAACTTCAGGAAACTACTTCCTCAAGAGGGTAAAGAGATGAGTCAGCAAGTTAGTTAATAAAGAGAGTCAGGTCTGCAACCAAGTCTCCTGACTCATTGACTCAGCATTCTGATGCTTGATGCTAATCAGCATTAAAAAAAATGTACTTACAAAAATATACTATACTTTCTCACCCCAAACATGATAATTTAACAGAGTTTGTGGATGCTATGAAGCTACACTTGAAGCAGGGGAGAAGGCAGAGCAGGACTACAACCACAAGTGGTATTAAAGCTGCAGCATGACTGAGAGGAGTACTAAACTCCAGGTCACTCAACTTGTCTCCTCTGAGCCAATCTACATGTCTTTCTATACAACTGCTAAGGAATGCTCAACTTATCACTCCCTTCTACCTCCATATGTCTACTATGAAAAATTTTATATATTGGTACTTGTTAGACTTACTTGTGTTTGTCAAGTTCAGTGGCACATCTGACTTTACATATAACCTATGGAAAAAGTACAAAAGACATTTTTGAAAACATGTATAATATGGCATGGAATTTTTTACTTTGTTTTCCAACCAAAACAGGTAGTATACAACTACAAGTAAGAACTACATGTAAAGTTCCAATGTTAATAGGTGAATTACACAAAGGAAAACACAGGTTTCCAAGGACTTAAAAGAATAGTAATAAATTTCTTTGGCTACTTTGGACATGTTGTAAGGAGATACCAGTCCTTGGAGAAGGACATCATGCTTGGAAGGGTGGAGGGACAGCACAGGAGGGGAAGGCCCTCTATGAGGAAGATTGATTCAGTGACTGGGGTAATTGGGATGGGAGTGTCAGAGATGGTGTGATTGGCACAGGACAGAGCAGAGTTTAGGGCTATTGTACATAGGGTCGCTAGGAGCCGCAAGTGACTCGATGGCACATAACAACAACTACAGAAGCAGACTAGAAGCAGAAATACTATTCACAATTTACTGAAATAGTGTGAGACATTTGGGATCTAACAAGTCCAAATTAGTATGATAAAAAAAATAATACATGTAGACTCACCGTCTTCCCTACACCTTCTACCTGCCATATTGTCCCATTTCCTTTCACAGGTGAGCTGAGTCATTTATGAACTCCACCAGCTACAGGAATGGGATGGGGCTCTGAAGAGAGACCAGCCCACCTCCTGTGGAAGGAGGAACACCTACCTCCTTCCCTCCACCCCTTGTCTGCCATATCTGTTTCCTTTCACAGTTGAAGCCACTTGGGCTTGTGGCTCTTGGGCCAAAAAGGAAATATGCAATATCCTGTCAAGACATTACCTGAGACTAGTACAAGAATGAAGTCAAGGACCTGCCACTGAAATGGCTCATAGAGCAGAGAAGAGAGGTACTTTGGCCTTGAACATTGCTGTTTAGCTACATCTTGTGGGGTTTCTTAATGTCAAGTGGAAGAGGCTGAGTGGAGCCACAGTTTCTGGAGGGCAACAGTCATTCTGCTTCAGGAAGATAAGAGCAGAACACTAATATACTGGTCCTTAACACGTTGCCGCACACTTTTTAAATTGACGACTGTGGTTAGAAACATATTTGCCGTCATTTGCGGCAACGTGTTAACAAAACATTGGCATACCCTGTGACATTATTGACTTACAACAACCTAAGATCTACTAAGGAAAGACTCACATGATGTTAAGAAAGCAGCAGTCTGCCTCATTCATCATGAAAAAACAAAATAACCCTTTTCTTTAAAAAAGCAGACCCAATGAATACCCCAGAAAGAGAAAACAAGAAGAAATATGTTGATGTGGAGTTATATGAACAACTACAGAAGATGATACTGTGAATAAGGACCAGGCAAGGATACTCACTGTCACCACTCATATTAAATTTTGTATTGGAAGTACTTGTTAGGGCAATACAACAACAAAAGGAAATAAAAAGCATCCAGATAAGCAAAGAGATGATTAACCTGTCACTATATGCAGATGAAATGGTAGTCCCCAAAGACTCAACAACAACAACAAAAAACTGTTTGAGCTCTTAGACCAATTTAGTAGACCGGTAGGATGTAAGATCAAGATTCCTCTACAGTAACAAAGAGAATTCAGAGAAGGAAACCAAGAAAGCAATGCCATTTACAATAGCCAATCACAAGTTGAGATACTTGGGAGTGAACCTAACTAGACACAAAATATTTGTACAAAGGAAACTACAGAACATTTCTGTGAGATACAATGAAAGACCTAAATAAATAAATAGAAAAATGTGGATAGGAAGACTCAATATTGTGAAATGGCAATCCTACCAAAAAGAATCAACATGTTCATCTCAATCCCAATACAGATGCCAATTTCATTTTTTCAAGAAGATAGAAAGGGAAACTGTCGAGTTTATTTGGAAAGGAAAGAGACCCCAAATAAGCAAAACTTCTGAAAAACAAAACTGAAGTGGGAAGCATCAAAGTCCCTGGCCTCAAAACCTACTACACAGCTGTATTAACCAAAACAGAATGGTACTGGTACAATGACAAGCAAATAGACCAATGGAACATAATTGACAACCCAGAAATGGATCCAGCTATCTATGGTTAACTGATAATTGACAAGGACCTATTAATTGACCTATTAAACGTGGAAATGACAACCTCTTCAACAAATGGTGCTGGCAAAACTGGACTACTACCTGCAGAAAGTTGAAGCAAGATGCACATCTTATATGATACACAAAAACTCAAGGTTGATCAGAGACCTTGGAGTAAAGCCCAAAATCTTAAAGTTCATAAGAGATTAACTTAGAATACCTGGTCTACCATATAAAGAGTTTGCCAAATACAGCCAGAAATGCACATTCTGAAGAAGATAAAATTGATCAATGGGACCTTACAAAGATTAAATACCTGTGTGAATCAAAAACATTTTCCAACAGAGTGAAAAGAAAACCTACTGAATGGGAAAAAACATTTGGCAATACCATTTCAGACAAGGGTTTCATACCAAAAGTTTACATAATCATACAGGGTCTCCATAAGAAAAAAACTGTTAAAACTATTACAAAATGGTCAAAAGACATGGAAAGATTTTTCACAGAGGAAGACATTGGAATGGCCAACAGAAACATGAAGAAATGCTCAAAATCACTGGTAACAAGAGAGATGCAAATAAAAAGCTCCAGGAGATACCATCTCATTCCAGTAGCAGTGACAAAGTTTAACAGGACATCAAGTAAGAAATGTGGAAGAGGATGTAGTGAGATAGGAACTCTTACACATTGTTGGTGGGATTGTAAAATGGTACAACCACTGTGGAAGGCAGTTTGGAATTTCCTCAGAAAGCTGAACACAGAAATTCCCTATGACCCAGCTATTTCACTGCTTAGAATGTATCTTGAAAGAATGAGTGCTAAGGCACAAATAGACTTATACACCAATGTTCATAGCAGCATTATTCACTGTCACAAGAACTTGGAAACTGCCCAAATGTCCAATCACAATAGAATGGATTGAGAAATTATGGTACATTCACATGATGGAATACTATGCAGCACACAGGAACAATAATTTCATAAACTGCTACCTAACTTAGGAAGGTCTGGAAAGCATTATACTAAATGAACTCAGTCCCATACGTACAAATGCTGTATAAGACCATTTTTGTAGAATGTGTATGAGGATCCAAGGAGGGGAGGGTGAGAAGAGAGGGATGAAGATGGGCGGATGTTTGTGATAATCATAGGGTCGTACAATTTGATGGGTGGAGAGAGGGGTGGGTAAAGAAAATTGGAAAGCTATGGTGTGAAAAATAATGTATATGAACTTTTTAAGTAAACCTGCATAATATAAAAATGGTATTTAAACAGTATAGTACATGTACAGGTACTTGTACAAGTAACTTCCTGGCTTTATTCAAACATTTGCTGAGAACTTACTCAACGTCGCATGTTATAAAAGGTTCTATAAATTCACAAACACATCCACTGATTTTGCTCTCAAGGAGGTCAGTATATGGGAGAAATAAGCCATTTATTTTGATACACTTTGATACAAATGCAAAAGATACAATCATAAAACCCAGGAAGACAGAAGGACTAATTCAGTGCTTAAGTGGAAAGACAGTCAAGAATTAGGAAGCACTTTCCAAAGGAGGTCATATTTGTTGAAGTAACAAAAGATAAAGGGAGTTAGAAAAGTGTACCAAGCACCCATGTATCTATTAATATGGCATTTGGGTTAATAGTTTCATCATTTACTGGAAGTTTAATGTGATGGAGGAGTCTAAGACACAGATTTCTAAATTCTACCATCTATATCATTTCTAGGAGCTCTGGTGTCCAAGCAGTAAGGAGTTGCACTGCCAACTCAAATGTATATGGTCCAAATCTGCCAGATGATCCACTGAAGAAAGATGGTCAATGTTTTGCAGTTTACAGCCTTTGAAAACCTGCGGAAGGGTCAGCTGTAAGTTGGTTCTTATTCTTTTTTTTTTTTTTTTTTGGTTCTTATTCAATGACACATAACAACCGAAAAAAGAACAAATCATGCCTAAAGGGGGCTCTGGTGCTGCCAACACAAAGCCACATAGTTCAAATTCATCAGCTGTTCCAAAGGAGAAAGATGAACAACCTCATTATCTTGAGATTCACTGCTTCTGTAAACCCCCTTGAAAGGTCACCTATGAGTTGGTTTAAACTCAATTGTACATAACAATAACATATCCTTGCCAGTTTAACTCCTATTCTCTGTTCCCACTACCACAGAGGTCAGAGATGATGAGGATGGCACAGGATGGGGCAAGGTTCAGATCCACTGGTCATAGGGTTGCTATGAGTTGTAGTTAATGCAATGGCAGCAGCAACAACAACACTACCATAGTTGGTTATTTGAAAGGAGGTTCTTCTGCCACCATTTTTAAATCTACATATTTAGGGGCCTCTAGTGGCCTTCAATTCAGTGCTCAGTGAGGTGTTCCATGCTCTTCTCCAACATCACAAATCAAAGGCATCAATTCTTTTTCTGTCATCCTTATTCATGGTCGAGGGCTTGGATGCATAGCTAGTAATCAGAAAGCCTATGGCCTGAATCAGACACACTTTAGTCCTCAAGCTGAAATCACTTCTCAGTAATTTAGAATGGTACTAACTGCAGATTTTCCTAGTGTAATCCATCTCTTTATTTCCTGACTGCTTATACCAATGAACAGCCAAGAGAATGAAAAAGTATGTCTCGGAGAGATTCCAACAGGAGTGCTCTTTGGGGGTAAGTATAATGAGGCTTCCTCTTAACATATTTTGGACATATTGCTAGGAGGTGCTATTCCTTGGAGAGGGACATGCTATTGGGAAAGGTGGAGGGTCGGTGAAAGAAAAGAAGATCCTCAACCAGGTGGACTGACATGGTGACTGCAATGGGCTCTTGTGTGTCAGGAATTGTGAGGTTGATGCAGGACAGGACTAGGTTCAGATCTTTTGTTCATAGGGTCCCTATGAGTTGTACTTGACTTGATG